CTAAATAAAAACCTTGTGACAAATGAACCAGAAAAAAAATTATCATCTGCAATTTTAACAGGAATTATAATATTTAGATTTTCAGGCCTGAAAAGGTTATGGAAATTAGTACAGTTTTCAAAAATGTAGTGTAAAATGCGTTTTAATTTTATTATTTAATTGGATGGAAATAATTCTAGAGTAAATAATATTTACTTCAAAATAATTTATTATATAATTTATAATTAATGTATGCATTCGTTTCTTAAATAATTTCTTAATTTGTTTAATTTAATTTATAAATGTATTAATACATGCATTTTTTAATTTTAATTATCAATAATAATTCAATTTAATGTATACATTAATTTATTAAACTCATCTAATTTAATAAATAATATTTTTGTTTATTGTTTAATATTTTTATAAATTATTTTATTATTTATTAAACATGTTTAATCAAGTCATTCATCAAACACAGTAATATCATGTGATAATAATATAGCATACCGTATGTTTGTCATGCAGCATTTATCATTGCATATTGAGTATTTTTTCACATACTATAGTATGCAGTAGGGCTGAACGTACAGTAGAACCCATTATAATCAGTGACGCTGTGTACACTGAATGCAGCGCGGCGCGACAAAACCCAACATTAAACTGAATCTTCAAGTCGAACACACCTCTTTACTCTCGCCTGTCACGTGACCGTGTAATCGCAGCCTTTTCATATCGCGATATTTTTCATATCGCGATATTATCGCAAATGCAATTAATCGTTCAGCCCTAGTATGCAGGACTCTAGTATACCATTCCAATTATATAGCCATAGTTTTTGCAAAAGATAGGTGGCGTGGCAAGTGGCAACAACCTTGGGTATGACTGAACATCATGGCTTTTGTTATCTTGAGTTGTTACTTTTCTTACTACTATAAAAACCTTATAAAGTGGCAGTCTGAGGGATCATGATCTCATTTCACAAAGCAGTGACCTGATGGTGTCTTTTCTTTAGACTGACATTTGAAAAGTATAGTCACAACATAGTCCATGAAAATTCTTTGGCAATCAACAACACAACTCATCAGTTCATCAGTTAAATGTCATTGATATCTGCACGCGTTCAGAAGGATTGCTGTATAGAAGCTTAAACGTTCATTCAAACAGCGATTATTGTTATAACAATCATACACTGCTCATTACATGGCCTCACCGTTTACTCCTCTGTCTCTTTAATGAACATAGATGGTGCTGGTCTGTGTTCAGGTTATATGGGATTGGTGCTCAGCTAAATGAATTCCTAATTACATATTGATCTGGAGGAATGGAAGAAGATTCACCCTCACAGGCTGTTTATGAGTGAATTATTTCACCTGTTGGACAAATACTGGGGCAGTATGGAGATGAGAGATCGATTTACACTGGTGCTGGGTTTTGGACTCTTATTGTATTGTCTCATCTCGTCTCTCTAGTTGTCTCGCCTCACCTCCTCTCCTTGTCCCATCTGCTCTCCTCTCATTTCCTTTCATCTCTCATCTCCTCACATCTCATCTCTTCTCTTTACTTCTTCTCTCATCTATACTCAACTAGTCTTGACGAAAACTAGTCTTTTCATCTCATCTGAACTTTAGTTTCCTTTACTTCTCTAGTCTCATCTCATCATCTCATCTTGACCCTTCTCTTTTCATCTCTTTTCTTCTCATCTCATCTTCACTTTTGTTTTCAATTTTCATCTCTTCTCGACACTTCTCTGTTCATCTTTACTCGTGTCCTCTTCTCGTCTCTTCTTGACTGTATTTGTCTTATATCTCGACCCCTCTCATTTTTGTCTCATCACATCTCAACTCTTCTCTTTTCATCTCATCTCAACCCTTCTCTTTTTATCTTATCTCATCTTTTCTCTTTTCATCTCATTTAACTTTAGCCCTTTTCTTTGCCTCATCTCATTTGGACTCTTTTCATTTCAGCTCAGCTTTCTCTTATCTCCACTTCTCGTTACTTCTTTTTTCGTCTTCTCATCACAACCCTTCTCTTTTCATCTCTTTTGTTTTCTTCTCATCTCATCTTCACTCATTTTCAATTATCTTTGTCTTTGCGTCTCATCTCATTTTTTGGCTCTTTCTCATCTAATGTCTTCTCTTTTCATATACTGTTGTGTTGCCTCTTGACTCGCCTCTTCTTTTTGCCTTGTCTATATCTTGTCTCATTTTGCCTCTTCCTTTACTTCTCGTCTCTTCTCCTCCTCTCATCTCGTTTTTCACATCTAATTTTTGTCTCCCCCTCTCATCTCCTCTCTTTTTGTCTCTCGCTCCCTTTCCTCTCCTCTTGTCCCATCTTTACTCATCTCATCGTGACTCTTCTGTTCTCTTCTCCATCACATCTGAACCTTCCCGGGGAGGAGTTCACAACACTCCCACAGCTTTCTTCTCAGCTTTATTTTAAAAGAGAGACATTTCTTCATCTATAAAACGTCCCGTCTTCTCCTCCCTCAGAGCTTTGCTCAATCAGATGTCTCGCCACACACCTCGCGGGATGTTTTGGGGACGCTGGTAAGAACGCAGGAAAGAAACAAGGGAAAATCTTCTCCTGTCGTCTGTCTCCTCTCGTCAGTGTGTGTGTCGAGTGTGTAAGGAGAAGAAAAGACACTGTAATTGCCTGTCTGGTGCATGGGGCTAAAAGCAGACGGTAGAGAAAAACCCAAAGGTTAACCCACCACCACCATTACCCTCCTCTGTCTCTAACTCTCTCTCTCTCTCTTACACGCACACTGAAAGCAGGTCATTCATAAATCTTAAAGCTTGTCACACATACAACCTGTAACATATTACTACCACATTTAAAATATCAACGCTCATTCATAATTAACAGCAGTATGTCAATAGCTTTCGGTTTTCAGTGTGTCAATGCAAAGAGTTTAGTCAGTCACAACAGCTCATTTGCATATTAAAGGTTGCTGATATTAAAGTTAAAACAACCTGTTTAATTCTAAGACCCAGAGAGGAGTCAAACTAAAAAACACATTTTGGTGCAACAAACCTTGACTTTAAGAGAATATGAATCATATTGTATGTGTGTGCTTGTGTGTTCAGGCATTTTCTTTGATGTGTATACATCTCTCTAAGCATTTCATTCAGGTCTTTAGAGAACCAGGGTTGTCGAGAGGCAGAATAAACCCCTCTGGAGACAAAACGATGTGCACTGGGAGCACAATCTCTTCATTTAATGAAAGAGAGAGAAGAGGTTGCCCACTAAGTACACACACTTACATGTACACACACATTATAATGGCTGTCTCCTGGTGCCATGGCAACACAGCATCCCGAGTACACCCACCTCCTCCTCCAAAATCAAAACCGGCGCCTGGATTTGGCGGCTCGGAGAGATGCACACACTCACGCAGACAAACCCACACCCACGTTTTCAGACAGTGAAGTATGCACAAGCCGTCCCGGACATCTGAAAGCACATTAAGTGTAATTTCTTCCCCCCCGGAGCATTAGACATGTTAAAAAAAGACACGGCAAATTGCAAGCCTGCACGCTCTTTGTCAAAGATAGAGGAGCAAAGAGAGAAGGGAGGCTGAGTCAAAACCAAGTGACAGGCTGAATGAGTGTGGTGTGAAAAGTAAAAATAACAACCCTCAGATTTGCAGACGGACAGTTAGATTTATAACTGTAGGATGGATCAGCCATAGTAGTTTCTGTTAGTCTATGTGTAAATGCATTGCATAAATTGTGCATCAAAAAAGGCATTTTCCTATCCATCAGTGCTTTCTGCTACGTAAAAAAGACTTTAAGAGGAATAAGAGGGACGTAATCTCGAATTATACATGTATAAGGTATGAACATTGTTGGCTTGTGACAGTAATGACAGCTTTAGTCATGTGATGTCTGGAATTAGAAGTCACTGATTGCTCTTTCAGGGAGAGTGATGGTATGAAAGTGTTCAGCACCAAGGACAGCAGCCTGTGTGGAAATGAACCACACTTAAAAGTCAAACGGATGCACTACCATATTCAATACTATAGACTAGAGTAATGGCTACTGAAAATTCAGCTTTGCATCATGGAATAAATGAAATTTTAAAAAACAGTTGATTTAAATTGTAATAATATTTCGCAATATGTTGTTTTCACTGCATTTTTGCTCAAATAAATGCAGCCTTGGTGAGCATGAGAGACTTCTTGTGAAAATATTTGAAAAACCTTACCAACCCACACTTTTAAATGTAGTTCACTGGAAAATAAAAAAAATGAAAAGAAAGTTATGGAAATTACAGATCATTAATTCACCATCGTGTCGTTCCAAATGCATGCGTTTTTCTTTCCTCCAAGGAACACAGAAGAAGATATATTGGAGAATGTCCAGTGTTCTCTTTTTCATAATGAGGACTGTCAAACTGCAAAAATGTGAAATATTCCCCTCTTTTATAGTTCTGAAATCTCATTTATGCTCATTTGTTGTGCCAGATTTAACTTCATGGTATCAAACATCATTGGTGTGTCTTGTCGTAGACATGAAATCGAGTGTGACACATTTTAATGCAACATTTGTGAATTGAATGAGATTTGAAAACTGGCAGAGAAGACTTTCAGCAAATAATGATTTAAATTTCTGCCATTTATGCAAAGTTTTGCTTCAGTTTTACTGTATGACTTCAGGCTCCTTTTTATCACTTTAATATTATTTTTCCTAATTTCTGGAGTTATTATGCTGTATATATTTTTGTATGTGTTATGTAATTGTACAGCACTTTGCATCAACCCGTTTAAAGTGTTTTAACTGTTATTTTTACTTGACATGAGGGTGAGAAAATGATGAAAGAATATGATTTATCTAGTGAATATTCCTCATAAATTCATTTTATTTTTGTTTTTTGGTTTGTTAAGCATTCATTAACTTGATATGTGCTCAGAGAAGGGTTATCTTCTACTGAGTTTCTGCCAAATTAATAAACATCAATCTTTGTGGTTGTCCCAATATTTTCCCAACTAACTTCTATGCACTCTCTTTCTCTTCTAGATGTTCTCAAAGGGATAGTTGCGAGCGGGCAAACGAGCCGTACCGTTTCGCCGCCACACTGAACCAGTGTGTGAAAGCCACGGTGTACCCAGACAGCATCGCCGTGTCTGAACCCAGCGTACCGGTGAGACCATTTACTCACAAGAACACAAACACCTTAACAACCTCGAGGTTATGTTGACTAAAATACAGGAGCACGGATTCCTTTTAGCGAGAAAAAATTTGCATGAATTAGTTTTCAGTGCGATGTCTAGATAAACAGTTTTGGGTTTTGGAAAGTGTGTGCTGTGTGGGAGGGCTTGAAGAGCGAAATACCTGGAAACAGAGGCCTTTGAGAAAGGTATATGTGTGGGTGAGATGCCAAATAAGCATGTGGGCCGGAGTAGGAGTTGCGTTCAAGAAGACAGAGACATCGATTCAGGGCTAAGACTCTTGTTTTGGACATTATTTTTAGTTTTACCCTGCTAGATGCTTCTTATTATTCATGCAAAAAAAGTACTATCTCAGGCATACCAGGAAGTTTGAAGGTATTCACCTTGGTTAAACTTCCCTAGGAATGTCCAGATAATTGATAGAGTCCCTGTACCACAGCTACCTGATTAAGATAATGAGGCGTCCGGCTCTAAATTAGATGTTTCTGTCATGCCGTAGCGCTCGACAACATGACAACAGGGTCACCGCTGTTCGGCGCGTCGTACGATGAAGGGAAACCATCACCATGACAACAAAACCCATCCGCACGGGCGCCGGAGGAGCATGAAAAGCAGCAAAAACAATCAAATTACTCTTATTAGAAATGCTAACAACAATTAGCCCTCCCTGCGCATCGGCAGCCGCGACGAGAAATTAAAAAAAAGCGCAATGAAAGGAGCAAAGGCAAAACATAGAGACACCAATCACGCCTCGTCGGTGTTGTTATGGTCAGACAATGCTTTATAGCAAAACAATGCCTTGTCTCGATGTTTGAGTACAGCATGTGTATCTACAATGAATAACAAGACAGCTAATTAGCAATTCTGTAGCTATCGCTCTCAGCGCACTAACCTAAAGAGTGCAGAAAGGAGCATCCGTGTGATTTTGAAGTAATTAGATGGCATATAGACACTGGAAATTTCAAAAGAGAGGGCAAAAGTCAATGAGATGGTTCGAACGTAACCTGAGAACTATTGAAAACGATGTGGTAAAAGCAAAAAAGTTAGCCACGCAATCTTAACAAATGTCACAGCAATAATTGTCCTCTCCTTCAATGGCGAGAAGACCAGCCTGCATGTGAAATGTGTGTATTTATAGCCTGTGAGCTCCGTCCTGTGTGTCACCGGTCCCCCAGAGAATGACTTCAGAGGGCCATGTGTGCTTTGAGAAGATGTGCGAGAGCATTCGTGTGAAATGCAAAGATAGAGGAAGAACGGATGTATTGTTAAATGCCCTCTTTGAGCAGGAGTCTTTATAAGGTTAAGTCTGTAATGATGGCTGGAGTTTATGCTGTGTGAGACCATCTGGTGCGTGCTGCAGAATGAACTTTGCCCATGTGAGAAGACTGAGGTTATTTGATCAGAAATAAACCGCTTCTTTCGGAGCCATAGCTTGGTGGATAGTAATCGTGGTTCAGACATGTAGACAGTGGTTTTCGTTCGAGTACTCATCTCACCCACTCTCTATATTTTTATATATGTTTTTTTTTTATATATATACATTATAAAATAAATTCTTACATAAAATAATGTACAAAGTAATATTAATATGAATAGAGAATAATTGTTACAAGTCCAATAAAATAATTATAAATCGTAAAGTACTTTTAATATACTAATAATATTAACATAATAAAATAAAATATTAATGTCAGTTAATTAAAATAATGTACTAATAAATGTAATGTATTGTAAAGTACATATTACTATATTTTTTATTTATAATATAAAAAAACTTTAAATAAAATTTAATATTTAATATTTAATAAAATTAAATAAATTTTAGTCAATATTGCTGTGACCCCACATCCAGGAGTTTTCTAAATAAAAATATTGTTTATGTGAACCAATGTCTGTATTTTATATCTATATCTATTCTAGATAAATATTTTTTTAAGCCCAGACTGTATTTTTTTCTATCCACCGTAGAGAAACCTGAAGTGAAACAAAACTATGGGTCTTAGAATAAAGTAATTCTGATTATTTTGTTTTGTTTTGTTTTGTTTTGAAAACTCCTGTTCTAATCTGATCTCTTTTCTTCATCTAGCTGCTGGTGAAAGTGACAGATGTTCCGGATCTTTCCGCTGGAATCACGTGCTCCTTTGGGAACCTGACGGAGGTTGAGGGCAGAGTGGATGGGAATCAGATTCTCTGCACTTCTCCCGCTGCTAAAGATGTTCCCATCATCCCCACAGATCAAGGTATTTATTCAAACTAGACTATTCAAACTAAACCTCCATATTGTCGCACTATTTTATACCCCCATAGATTTACTCCTTATATCTCCTGCTCTCCATATACTCAACTTTCCCTATCAATTGGCATCGCTTTTGTTTTTTCTTTATCCATCCGTCTACCTGTTCCCCTCAGGGAGGCGATCTCTATTCTCTTGTATAGATGCTCTATTAATAGACCCTCCCTAGCGTACCCAGCAGCCTCGCTTCCTAATGAGGGCTTCATTCATGCTCTCACACTCGAGCCGCACCATCGATCCCACCGGCCACGTACAACCGCGGCTCTAATGAGCCTACACCGACCCCGGGTCGGCCCCAGGGCTACAGGCATGCTCTCAGACACACTTACGCCCATTACAGGTGACAAACCCTCTGCCCTCTCCCTACCCATAATAGCTCCAGGGAGGGAGTTCTTCCTGAACGCTGATCAACAATCGGGTTTAGAGTCATCTGTGGTTATGAATTTAATCGGGGATCAGTTCGCAGTGTGGGAAACCAAAAGTAGAGGATCCAGTTCCGTGAAAAACCGCATGGTGTAACTGTATATGTGACTACAGAGGTATCGTTTAAGTATTCACTTTGTTGGCGACGCTTATACAGCAAGATTACACTGATTTTTTAAAAAGCTAACATTCGTCTGCGGGCAGATTCCTACATGTGCTTTCCGTCTAACCTCTGTTGGGAAGCAGATGGCCGCATATGCGGCAGAAGTTGGTTGTGATTATCTGAATCACAATAATTCCCTCCCAGCTCACAGTAAATGACAGCTCTGTTTACCCACAACCCCCGTGCTCTTGTTGGGGGGACTGTTATCCAATCAGTGGCCTCCCTCAGGTAAATGTCATCTAATCCCCCGGTGCCTCATATTTACCACGTCTCTCTTGACTGAATCGGGCTCGATAGGAACATATGAGCATCGATCCTGTGTGGAAATACCCGCTCATTGAGTGGTGGGTGTGACCAATTCTATTCCTAGTTTATTTCCAATAGCTGCAAGGCATGAGACGGTTGGGCGTTTGGGAATTGCATGCCAGTTACTGTCCTTGGCATATGTGCCAAAAACATGTTTAAAAAGCCAACTTTTACCCTTCAGTCCGTTCATCCCTGTTACGAGGCGCAGAAACAGGTGCGAAGGAGGGAAGAGGAGAGGAAGTGGTGCTTTCGGGTCACGGTTGACTCCCACACACTGTATGCTAGCTGAATCGCTGCCTGTTTGGGACGGAGCTCGTGCTTATTTGAGTATGAAGAGCTGGCCGCTTATCGAGCGTGAGTGTTTGGTCTGAACGCCGATCGGCATTCTCCACGCAGCCACCCTGCCAAACGGGATTGGCCTGGCTGGTGTTCTGAGGCGCTGCCAGCCGCTCCTCCGCCATTACATCGACGCTGCCGCCCGCGGACCTGTTTCACATTAACAGCAGGGCTCAGCTGTGTTCTGTGTGACAATAGCATGTCTCCACAAAAAAAAGAAAAGCGCCAAATATGCTCATATCGGTTTGGATGCCACGCACTGCAGAGCTGCTCGAGGCTCCGCTTGACTGTGAGAATACGATGCGAGGAATGCCAAGTATTAATCAGAAGACAGCTTGAGCATGAAGCAAGCTGAAAAAAGGGTGGCAAACCAAACACAACAGAATGCTATGTGACAGAAATGTTCTCATCTCTTACTCTCTTGCTCTCTTTTTCAGACTGGTCGGGTGTCGAGCTCAGACTGAACTCGAAAGAAACGGGTCAGATGCTAATTAGCACAGAGGTGAAGTTCTACAACTGCAGCGTGCACCAGCTGTGAGTATACACACACTTCATTTAACTCATTTCCAGAGCTAAGAAAAATTGCATGTGAGAATTTGTTAATTTCTCTTGCCTTGATGGGTTTAATTGAGCAAAAAAAGGCTCAAATGTCCATCTTTACAGGTTTTTCTTTTGAGAAAATACATCAGGAATCTCTCATGTGTCTGATAAAGCTCAGATTTCAGAGTCATAGAACATTTCTTGTAATTTTATGATTTTATGGTTCTATTTTTATTGCTCTTTTTGATACACTACCGTTCAAAAGTTTGGGGTTGGGAAGATTTTAGTTTTTATGTTTTTAGAAGAAATCTTATGCTCACTACTACAGCAGCATTTATTTGATCAAAATACAGTAAAAACCGTGATACATTTTATTTTCACAATCCTTTGATGAATACAAAGTTCAAAAGAATAGAAAATATTTTGTAACATTGTAAATGTGTCTAATGCCATTTTATATTCTGATACATCATGAGATATATGATGTGTCATACCATCTACCCAGGGGCGCGTTGCTGTGATATTTGTCTTTATGATGTAGGCTATTCATCCCACATACGCAACCCTGCTGATATTTCTCTCACTTCCTGTGTCGTAGAGTGTCAGCGTTGTGTCACAGCACTCAGCCAGCTCACTCCGCACGCTGTGAATGTTTCAAAAGTGTTACGCAGCACGGAAAAACTGAATGTTTCGGGCCCACAGGCGTTTGATAATATTCAAAGAGTTTATCAAGGCTGCGTCTGGCAGCGCACCAGATTCTCACAGCGAGTTTGAACTCTCCAAATCGTTTTTTGCAGGACGCCAGTGTCACGTCCCTCCCAGGCTGCACTTTTCCGTGACTGGCGAGGGCCTCGTGGCTATAAAAAGCATCCATTATGGCAAATGCCGGCTGATTGCTTGACATTTCTCAAGTGTCGAGGCTGAGATGTCTGAATTGCTGAATCTAAGTGTGCTGTGGGTTTGGCGCTCCGGCTGGAGGCATCGCTGTCTGTCACAGTTCAATTCCGCTTCATCTGCTGTGATGGCTGATCAGAGAGGAGCGAGTTCGACTGCATCTCGACTCTCCAGGAGGCCCGCTGATAAACAACCGCTTGTGTCTGAGCAAGCTTTGTGTCTTTGTTCACGCCGCGCCTCCAAACTCCCCTCGTGTGCGTGTTTATGTGTGTTCGTATATTCGTAGCCTCTCGTGTGCGTTCGTAACCACATCTCATAAGCGTGCCTTCTGAGGAGAACAGATGCTGCTCGATGCAGGAGATCACAGAGCTCTCCAGTAGCTGGAAGCTTTCTAAAAGGCTCAGGAAGAGGTAGCTTCCGAGGGAGCTGATTGGCTGGCGCCGAAAGACTCGCCCCCTCCCCGTTCCCATCGCTTCCTCGCTCTCTCACGGCCGTGTCACCCGAGCATCTGACAGATCTGGAACTAATCAAACAAACTCTCTGTATCCAATCCCTCTGAATACGCACCCCTCGTGTGTGAAAGACCTCACACCGAGCTCCGTTGGCCCTCTGTGCCAGTGCCACAGGGGATTATGGGTAGTCTGAGGCAGAATGGCCCCTCTTTGTGTGTTCAACCTGGCTCAGTTTTTGGCACGGTTTTCCTCCCACACTCCCTTTCACTTCAAATGTTGTAAAATGCTCTAATTTATCTTGAGTTCTCAATATAGTGATTAAGTACACCGTGGTATATCGCGTGATTTATATACAAATCTCACCCGTCCAATCGGGTTGGCCCATCTGAACCCAGTGGCCCAATGGCAAGCCGGCTCTGATTAATATTTTAGCATAAATCCTGCATAATTTAGCCATCAAGCAGAAAACACAAACTCTTGGATGCCAAAGTGCTGTAGAGGTTTACATCTCCGAGATTCCTCAACATCAATTATATGTTCCTCTGCAAATAGAACGAGGCCTGCTCGCTCTATCATGGCTTTACTTCTCAATTGGAGGGACTGGTGTAAGTGTTTTATTGGAACGTGTTGGTATTATGGATTCTGGATGTGCTCTTTCTCGTAAGCTGTGCTCATCTGCATATAAATGATGAATAGAAAGCTTTCTGCTCAAGGCACGCACACAGATACATGCAAACACACATGCTCGTAATGTATGGCCGTATTCTCTCATGGTTTGCCCGCTGCATATTGGAATACTGATTATACAGCTAAATAGAGATGGCGCACAGGAAGTGAAGCTATTCAGGGATCACAACCCTGGTTTATCTCAATTTTGGCCTTAAATTAAACACTTAACCTCATGTTGCTCCCGTGAGATGGTGTTCGCAATTAACGTACCGTGAATCGCTGAATAACAACCAAACAAAAAACAAAAAACAGCTGTGCATTCAAACACTTGTCTGTAATCGGTAAATTCAATAATTGCCATTTTCCCTTAAGTTGACTGTTAACGCCTTTACATGAGTTTGAAATACCATGTGATGATCCATGTTTAATTAAAAATTTATTTGATTGTTCTGAACCAGTTTAAGCAGTTTTGGTGTGAAAAACCATTTTAGAGTATTTTACTGTCTTGGCTTTTTGTCGTTATTCAGATGTTGAAATCAGAGTCATACGTTCTGTATTGGGCATAATACAAAGAGTTTTTGGTGCACACTTTTATATAAGATATGTATATATTAATCTTCAACAGTTGTCTCAGATATTCAACATTTTCCAATATTCAGAATAATATAAATATAGCATTATACTTGCAAGATATAAATATTACAATTAATATATAATATTATACTTTTCTGTAAATATATATTGGAATTTTATTTTATTATTAATTTTATTTTTGGTAATGCTTTATTTTAATGTGTCCTTGTTACATTTTACATGTACTTACTTTTATAATAACGATAAAGTATGCATGATTACATGCAAGTAACTCTAAACCAAACCCTAATCCTAACCCTAACCGTAGAGTAAGTACATGTAGTTGATTAATATCATGTAGTTGGAGAGTCAATGAAATGGAAAGTTCATGGACCGGATTCGTGACACTTTGTGTGTTTTTAACCTTATACTTTAGGGAGAAAATTGCTGTCCTAGAAGTTAGCTAAATATAACAAAAAGGTTATGTGGACATCTTCAAGGGCAATAGTGGTTTATAAATAATACAATGTTATTTATTTATTTATTTATTTTAACTTTAAAATTAATACAATTTTCATATATAAATAAAATAAAACAAAACAAAACATTTATTTTTTTATTCATTTTAATTAAAAATATTTCATTAACAACTTTAAGTGTATATAAATGAAACAACGTATTTGCACAAATTAAGTTATTCTTTTAAGTGAAAGATGCAACATTTTTAATTAATGTTGCCTTCGTAATTTATTTATTTTTGTTAAATAGCACTCATTTATTTTATTGTATTTTCTCAAGATATTTAAAAATTCTGACAATTTATCATGTAGTTGTTACACTGTAACAAGGACACCTTAAAATAAAGTGTAACCTTATTTTTTTATTTAACCGTTTTCTGTACCATTTGGGCTACAGTTAACACAAGTTATTGATATCATAAAAGACAAAACTAGTTTTTTTGTTTAGCAGCACTGGACTTGTACTGCTCTAAATGACTCTCTGCTAAATGTCCATTTGACCTAGAGACTAGACTTTTCTTTTTAGAAGGACTATAAAACACAATTACTTTTGTTAACTATTATAATACTTAGCATCACAATTATTGCAATTAGAATTAGATTACCAAGATCATTCCATATTCACTCAGGCAGTCCACTGTCTCACTCGCAGACAATATAGATCTAATGCAAATCATATGTCACAGCATGACTATGTCTTATTAAAGTCTGTATGTCTCAGTTCTAGAGTGATAATTGTACGTCTGAGTTCTAACCTTTGCAGAGCCGCAGTACATCTGTATGAGAGTTTCAGTGGCACAGTGCTATCCAACGGCACATGCAAATTTCCGCAGCACACTTTTAATTTATTCAGCATTAAGCCGCAAAGGTCAAGGACGCAGCAGTGCTGGTCTCAAAGGCACAACCTGCTCCCCATTGCTAATCTAAAACCCAGAGCTACGTTTTATGCTGACTACTTTCACAGTACCCTCAAAAAAGGAATTTGGATCATAAATCAGGGGCTTCATGTGAGTGGTAGTAATACTTTATTCTATCTCTCTCTCGCGTGTGCACGCTCTTTCCACCTGTTTAGGTGTCTTTCCTGTGTGACCAGTTCCTTCCGCTGCCACTGGTGCAAGTACAGAAACCTCTGCACCCACGACCCCTCCAGCTGCTCTTTCCAGGAGGGACGCGTCAACGCCTCAGAGGTACACACACAAACACACACTGTGTGTTGAGGTTAGAGTCTCTCAGTAGCAAATCTGCAGGATCACAAACCTCTGGGGAAGAGCTTCCAATAATAGCTGCTGAAAAGTGTGTGTGAAGTCGACGGTCACCTCGCTAGAGAGAGTGTGTGTGTGTGTACATTTGCAGGTGTTCAGCTGATCAATGTGCTACATTACACCCTGTCAGGTGGTAAACACACTTGCTCACCCTCTCACAGCGAGCAATTAGCAGTCGATATCCGGAATATTCTCCCTCACAGCACACACAGACTTCCCACTTATTCCCACACAGGCATATGCACAAAATAAACACTTATACTTGCACAGGCAAAAAAATCCTTACGGTGCACCATCACTCATGGTGTGTGTGAGTGTGTGTGTGTGTGTGTGTGTGTACATGTGCATTTTCGTGTGTTCAGGCTTGCATGTGTATAAGTGTATGTTTGTGTATCTTTGTGTTACGGGGCTGACGAGACACACATATATATATATATATATATATATATACTGTATATACATATATAGATAGATTTGTTGCACAAATTAAGTTGTACTTAACTGAAAGATGCAGCATTTATTTAATTAATGCCTTTGTATTTTTTTATTGTTTTATTATTATTATTTTATTTTATTTTCCAACAGGAGTGTATGCCTGCAATGCGCATGCCTGCTTACATAGAGTTGTTTCCATGTTTCTGGTCTTACTTAGGGATGCCTCTCACAGGCTGACCTACTAGCGTACATCATCTCCACACAGCTTTTAGAGAGTAACACATCAACGTGCTTTTAAAGAGCACCTAAGGTTTCACTGTGTGTATGTGAGCATGGGGAGCATGTGTGAAGCTGAAGTGTGTGCATTTCTTTGTACACTGTATGTTTCTTTAAGACTCTATCAATTCAGATTTCATGTTCTCTACTCGAATGGATTTTTATGCGTGTGCATGTGTTTGTCTTGACTACCTTTTTACCTCTCACTCCTTTAGGACTGTCCTCAACTGGTCCGCTCTGAGGAGATCCTGATCCCAGCAGGGGAGGTGAAACCCATCACACTGAAAGCCCGGAACCTTCCACAACCTCAGTCGGGTCAGCGCGGCTACGAGTGTGTGTTACACATACAAGGAGTCACTCACAGAGTCACGGCTCTCAGATTCAACAGCTCCAGTGTGCAGTGCCAGAACAGCTCGGTATGTGTTTGGGTTTGCATGGCAAAGATCATAATGAAATCTCTGAAATCAATAAGATTTTATTGAAAACAAACTGAAACTTATCGTTAAGTCTCCTGCTTTTCTCTCATGAGAACGAGTCCAGAGTTTCATAAGAGATCTCAACAGTGTGTCAAACTGTGCTCAGATTTGCTAGGATACAGCATCTAGTGTATAATTGAAACTTCAAATAATTGAAGATCTCGGCATTACCTTACTCATTTTTTCATAAAATTCTTCCAAGACCAAATTATCTGAGCTATACTTACCAGATTGGTTTTGTAGCTACAAGCTGTGAGAAAAAATCCTGAGTTTCAGAAGATATCTCAAAAGTCTCAAATTGAGCTCATATTTGCCAAGGTATTAAGTCATCGGATTCTTTCTAAACCTAAACAATCTGAGCTACACTATTTACATTATTTTAAAACACTATACTCTTACTGTACAGCAGCAGTTGCCTCATTTGTTTCTCCTAAGGAATAACAAAGTGGATACGTACAGTGCATTAAATGGATGGATTATCTCGGCAAAGGAGAAGTGCTCACTAACACAGATTTAGACAGATTTGTGAACAATATTTGAGGAAAATAGGCCTTTTGTGTACATAGAAAAAGTCTTAGATCTTTGAGTTCAGCTCATGAAAAATGGGGGCAAAAACAAAAAGTGTTGCGTTTATAATTTTGTTCAGTATATAATCTAAGCTATGAAAGAGAGCAATTAATGCCTCAATTTGATCTTAACCTAGTTCCAGAAAAGCACAGTTTTTAGCTAATTAAACACTGGTTACCTGTTTGTGATGTTATATTGCACAGAATCGGGAAATGAGCACAGCCAAGATATATTTTGCATTTCTACCTCCACCTTTCACTCTCTTTCAGTCATTATCTTTCAAACGAACACACACACACACACACACACACACAATGTAAGTAGAAAGCAATTAGAGCTCGGTGTCCAAGCTGTAGAAAATAGGAGTGTTGAAAGTCTTCCTTATTCCTCAGACTGATGATGCAAGTCTGGAGTAACTCAATAAGAGCACTAATACAGTCAAACTACCTCTCTTTCGCTCTCTTTTTCTCTCTCATCTTATTTGCTTGTGTACTTTGCCGTTTATTCGTTCACTGTTTGGCTGCATGTTGTAATTAATAATTGACAGGCAAAGAGTAAATCCAATAAAAAAATTCATAAACTTTACATTATCTCAGCGTTTGCACTGTCAGGAAAATGTTGCAAGCTCTTTCCATCTCTCCGTCTCTCTGCAGTATCTGTATGAAGGGATGAGGATCAGTGAGCTGCCGGTGGATTTCTCAGTGGTGTGGAATGGAAACTTCATCATTGACAATCCTGAGAACATCAAAGGTAATAATTTGTTTTTAAACCAAAACTCTATAACCTGTCTAACCCTCCCAGAATCATTCTGCCCTAAATAGAATTTGAGGTGATTGATTGGACTGATTATTATTCATTCCATGTTTTTATAAAAAAATAAAAAATGAAAGTCTGAAGCTACTTTTCTTATGCTCAGCAAAACTTCTTAAGCATCACGGTTGTGCTGAGCTTCATGATTTCATCAGTCTTCATATGTTTATGATCAATAGCTCTACTAAACTGTCAGATAGGTCAACCTAAGTCAGAAAACTTTATAAAAACTTTTACACCAAATAAAATCCTTATTGCAGCATTCATTTAAAAACACTTTACTAATTTCCACATGTATCCCACAGTGCACCTGTATAAGTGTGGCGCTCAGAGGGACAGCTGCGGCGTGTGTTTGAAGGCCGAGAGGAAGTTCCAGTGTGGTTGGTGCAGTATGGAGGGCCGCTGTACCCTACGCCAGCACTGTCCCATGTCCAACCCCTACACCAGCCGCTGGCTTCACCTCGCCAGCACGAATGTCAAGTGCACCAACCCTCGAATCACTGAGGTGGGTCACATGTACTATACAGGACTCATTCTGTTTTTCTGTAATACTTGATTTCATTTAGGGCACATATGGCAGAAATATATCTAAGAGATCAGCTGGCCATTTTCCAAAAATATTTAAATGCTGAATGCCACAACTGACCAATCAGAGTGAAGTGTTCCAGGGATCTGTAAAATTATATGTGTGTGTGTGTGTATACACACACACAAAATTGATATATAAATATAATTTGAGTATTTTTTATTTATACAAAAATTGTTTCCTTTGCATTTCCATTGCATACATTTTTCTTAACAAAGATATGATTCACACAGCGCTTTATTTTAACCCCAAAATTTTAATGTATAAACCTTTAACTTGTAAATTTTTTTATACATTTTATTAAAAAATGCTATTCTGATGAAAGTATACAATTACAAATATGTATTGAACATCATTCATAACTCAGACAAATGAACACACACATACACAAGAGTTGTGTGGAAGAGTCTCCATCAGCTCATATTTCTACTCTGTAGTCTGACTGAGCTCTTTGTTGATGCTGCTATTCATAGACTCTCAGAGAAAGGTGAGCTATGTGTATCGCGAGTAATGTCTCTCTCTCTCTCTCAGCTCCTCTGCCACTCTCATCGTCAATCATACTCATTCTAGCTGCCAATATCTCACGTTTTCTTGTAATTAACACAATGTTGGAACGTTGGTGGCATACTGTGAGAGGTGTGCGTGTGTGTGTGTGTGTGTGTCTGCTGGGAGACTGAGGGAAGACATGGTGTTTAATTAGTTTAGGTAACGCACCAGTGCTCTGTGTTTAAACTACCTGATTCATGGAATTCATTGATTCATGTGGCTGTTTGCAGTCTGCATATCACAAGCTGTTGCCCCATGTGCACACCAACCAATTAAAAAGTAAGGGTTATGACTTCCTGTTGTCTGTTTTCATTTAGGATGAATGGGTAAATTAAGGTTATGAACAGCTTCTGTTTTTTGTTGACGGAGAGTGTTAAAAATAGCATTATTGGTGTATTGAAACATGCACATCCTGTTCTTTGTGTGTGTGTGTTTGTGTTTGTTGCACAGTTTTTCTTCTACCTTTAACTGAGGGCTTTTATTTAATTAATGCTAACTTTGTCATTTATTTATTTTGTTAATTATCACTGTTTTGTGTTTTATTTTATTTTTTAAGTTTATTTTTTATTTTAAATACTTGTTTATTTGGCTCTGCCATTTTTGTTTAAAAAATGTTTAAAATGTCTTTATATGTCTAAAAATACTAGATTTTGTTTACTAAAGCTGAAGTTAAGAAATTAACTTACTGTAAATGCTTAATGTTTAATCATCCCTCTGTCATAAAAATGTAAAATTAAAATATACTAGTAATACACTTACAGTATATGGCTCTCTACATCAATGTTGATTATTTTAATGGCTTTGCAATGCAAAGTATGTGAAGACATTAATATGCTACTATGTGTATGCTCTTATAGGCCAGTCTTAAAACACAGCACTCAATTTTATGAAATATGTAGTATTTATATAAAATATAGTGTCCCTGATTAAAGGTTGAAGACCCAAAACCCTTTTACACCCACCAATGAAAATCGAGCCCTGCATTTCGTGTTTCAGACACATGCAATTGCCAAGACCACATTACAAAGCAGTGGAGCAGTTCCTTCGAAGCAAATTAGTATGAATATTTTTAATTCATCCATTTTTGATCTGTTCTCTCCAAGTTGTTCATTTCCATTTTCTCTTCTCTCAGTCTCACTAACGCACATAAATGTAAAAATGTCATTTAAAGCAGTCGTTTCCATGATTGTCTTTTGTTCTTAATTTAGTTATGTTATTTTCTGTGTGTTTTTGTCTGAATATAGACATTCGTAAGCTGATTTGTGCAAATACATAGACATTAGCGAGATCTGCCTACAAGAAAATGACAGTCATGAATGATTAACGCTTCTATTAAGCAGCACTCTATCCCTCCTCTGAAGACTTATTAATATTAATGAGGCTTAAGTCCTCAGTGAAAGCCGAGGGTTCGGCATTAAATGAATGTGGAGGAAAGTCAGGCACTTGAAATTGGTCTTGACTTGGCTCTTTGCTTCAGATGGTCTCTGAGCCTCTCCTTAGTAGCTCAGTCACGGAAAAGGATGGTGTCAGTTTGTGCTTCACAGAACTCAGGGGCGTAGATTACGCGGGGGACGTGTCCCCCCCACTTTTAATATCATGTAAATTCGTCCCCCGCACTTTTTCGGGCAAGTGTGTTCGCATAGAGGTTTTCAAGAGCCGGTGTGAATAAATATAGATTTAAATTCAAAGAGACAGGATAGTCTGTGCATGATCTGATGTTTTATTCGGACCCAGAATAAGGCTTGTAATGTTTTATATATATATATATATATATATATATATATATATATAAAATTTCTGTCCCCCTCACTTCTGAAATGATGGCTACGCCCCTGACAGAACTGATCTTGGATCAGCCATGAAGAGCTTTTTGAACTTTTATATCAGTATTGATGTTTTGGTTTTGAGTTGTTTTTGAGTAATTGACTATTACTGATTATTTCTTTTTATAAATACAACATGTAAAATTATATATACAATATATATTATAGACTAGACTATATAAAAAGTTACTTTACTATTTTTCATTAATTTAGTATTTTTTTATATTTTATTTTAAATTATTTTTGTCATGGGCCACTTAGAAATGCAGTTGCAATCAGCCATGAGTTTGTTTCAAAACATGGACCAAAGCCTCAGGAAATATGGCCTATATACACACACACACACACACACAGGTACACACACCCCGACACACCGAGAGAGACCGTCCACGATGAAAATCATCATGAATAAATTATATTGAGCCTGATAGAACCTTCTCTCCCATCAGAGCTACAACGCTTGTGTAGTACGACACAGCCTTTCCACAAAGTCACATGTCTATTTACAGAAGAGCATTCAGCTCGACTCACTCAACCACAAACTCCAATTTTAAACCGGATGCACCACTTTCAAGTCCCTCGTTCCTTTCTTTCCTTGCTTAAACACTCGCTTGCTTGGCCGAAGTTCAAAACCAAGGCCCTCTTTTCAGGCTTTATCGCAGCCAACCACGGGGACATTTAAGAGCAAATAAAGTGTTTAGTGTGCAGTTTATGCAGCAAGAAACAAGTCATAAGCTGAGTTTTATCAAGCCCATAAATTGCATCTCGGTGTAAATTTGGGACGTGCTTGAATCAGCTGAAAAGACTCCAATCCCGGTAACAAATCACACCTTTCGTTCTCTTGCTGCACACTTTCATTACAGCTTCCTAATTATACGCAGCAACTGAGTGCGTGAAAACCCTCCGAGGACAGGAAATACATCCCCGTTTAGACTTGAACATGTTGGTGTTAAGCATTAGCTTTTCTGCATTACTTAACGAAAGCACACATTAACAGTTTTTACCTGCAAGAGGACATGATGCCCAGGTGCAGGGTCGGCGCCAGAGTGCACAAAGTGAGGGGGCAGGCACAATTTATTGGGGGGGCTGCCGGGCCGGGCCCCCTCAGGCCCCCCCGTGGCGCCGACGCTGCCCAGGTGCATGTTGGGTAAGGAGCATCCAGGCAGGGCTACTGCTTTAAAAAAGCATGCATTAAGAATGAAGCGACTTCCTGTTTGTCCCTGAGCCACTCTTAAGACATGACACTGGCCCGTGTCTGTGTGCATGTGTCCATATAACTCAAAGCCAAACAACCCGTGAGAACTCTGAAGATCTTCTCAAGAAGTTCACGTTCTCATTCCACGGCCGGAATCCAGACACTCACTTTTGTAATGATGGTGAAATTGCAGTCGGGCACAAATTGTAGCTCTGGAACCAGTAGCTGTGTGGCGGAGGATGCCGTCTGCTGGGTCAAACAAGGCTTTGCTTTCTCCTCAGAGTGGGCGGATGAGACTTTGAAGTATTGAGTCAGTGCGAGAGATATTTATGCTCTATGAATAAAGCCCATTTGATGTCTGTAATGGCTAGTCAGAACAGCACCGCGCTCTGGGTGAAGCTGGAATCTGACGCCTAGACTATTATCACATGAGCTGATGAGATTTAATCTACAGATGAAAGCACTGCCGCCAGTGTATACCACCATGCTTTCATTTATTTACTTGATTGTTTTATTATTTAGAGCATAAAAAATAAGGATACATCTGTAAGGATATATCTATGTAATCTGTAAAGAAGATGTGAATATGTTTGGAGTTGAATAGTGGTACTGCTTTCTGTGTTGTAAATTATATACTGCATACTAGTTTTAAATATTAATACTATGCAGTATGCATAAATGTTTCAGATACATAACCTCACAATGTAGATGATGTCCTAGTTATAATTTTTAAAATTTTTATATTATATTATATTATATTTTTTTTTAAATATATTTATCTAATTATTTTTTATAATATTTTATAAAATTATTATACTGTAATTTTATAATAAATATATATAGAAAGATGTCCTTTTTTATTTTATTTTATTTTAGCATTTCAAGAAGAAACACAAGCCAAATGTGCAGTATGCAAGGATTTTATTTTTTCATGTATAATTATTTGATCAAACTGTTGAAATCTTTTAAATAAAGAAATGTTTTTTGCTCTACTATGAAATTATGTATTTGTAACATGTATATGTATATGTTTTTTTAAACATAGTATGCAGTATACACATGCATTAAAAATACTGGTTTACTATACATTGCATACATATATATGACATTTATTTTTATTTTTGTTTGTCATCCTGATCATACCCACATTGTGTTCTGACATCAAGTCTGTATTATTTCAGCAGTTTATTTAGTTTTCTGTAGTTAGTTTGTTTTAGTTATAGTCAGACTGATGCTGACTCGTATCGATATGGATATATTTAGCGTTCCATTCTTCCTCTTATTGTTCCAGTCCTGTTCCCAAAAAGCAATAAAAGATTCATATACTTCCACCGTAAGGTTCACTAGTGACACACTTTACATCCTAACTGATTAATGTCCACTAAACTCTCACCGATATGCTCCTCCCGTTGAGCGACTGCACTTCCCACATCACACTGCTCTAGATCAGTATACAGGCACATTTAGAAGATGCTCTTACTTTAATCATGTTGGTTTTACTTCCACATGACTGCACACAAATGGTTTATTGATTGTGTATGTAGTAGCTGAACTGTGCATCTCTGCCTTTCTCTCAGTGATATTTGGATCTGGAGAGGGTCCAGGGCTGACCTTCTCTTGGGCTTTAACAGCACAGAAGGCTTTTTGGCACCCAGAGCCAAGGTCACGCTGAGTGGCCATATTGTATTTTATGAGAGGGTGGGCTGCTCCGAGGGCTAAAATGGCCTCATGTTAGATTTATTGCCTGTGGCAACAGCATGCAGATCTGCTCCTGTCTTGACTGGAGAATTTTAATGCACTATGCAACTTTAATAGGATAGGAAGTTGCCACAATGAGTTTTACTGATATCTAATTTGGTGCTATTAAAGTGAAACACAATGCAAGAGACAGTTATCTTTAAAATGCTTCCTCTTGAAAGGTCCATTTGGAGACCTTTAACTAGTTAAGGCTTATGCGTGTTAAATTTCTTAATTATGTCTCTGTGTTATGCAGATATATATTTGTGTCTTTCCTGATGTTTTTGTGTTAAAACATTTCAAGTGTTCAACCTTTAAAGTGTTAGTTCACACAAAAATGAAACTTCTGCCATCATTTACTGACCCTCATGTCATTCCAAACTTGTATGAGTTATATTTACGCTAGCATTCAAAAAAGTAAGAAAGTATTCAAATTAATACTTTTGTTTACCACAGATGCATTAAATTGATTAAAAGTGACAGTACATACGTTTATAATATAGCAAAATATTTTTATTTTAAATAAATGCTGTTACTTTGAACTTTCTATTCAGGATACTGAAAAAAGTATCACACTTTCTACAAAAAAATATAAAGCTGCACCACTATTTTCAACATTTATACTAAGGTGTCCTTGTTAAAGTGTACTTATACATTTAAGTACTGAGTAATATTAATTAACTACATGTACATACTATATGGGTAGGTTTAGGATTAGGGTTTGGTTTAGGGTTACTTGCATGTAATTATGCATAATTAATTGTTATTATAATAGTAAGTACATCTAAAATGTGTAATAAGGACACCTTAAAATAAAGTGATACCGTTATTTTAAAGTAGAATAATATTTCACAGAATTGCTGTTTTGCTATATTTTCTTATCAAATAAATACAGCCTTGGTGAGCATAAGAAACATATTTGAAAAAAAAATTTAGCAACCCCAAACTTGCGAATGGTGGTAATATATCTTTACTTTATTGCAAAATATTCAAGTTTTTCCAAAACAATGACTGATTGAATGATTCACTAAATGAATCAATTACTGAATTTCTCTTCCTCTCTTGTTTCAGGTGACCCCAGTGGCCGGACCACCAGAAGGGGGCACCAGAGTGACCATCCGTGGTGTGAACCTGGGCTTGTCCTTCTCAGACATGGTCAACAATGTGCAGGTAGCAGGAGTCCAGTGCACCCCACAGGAGAACGGCTACATTATTGCTGAACAGTGAGTGACAGTAGAGCTGTAAAACTGTGAATGTGAATTCATGCTGTGCAAGTGTGTCTGAGATTAGAATGGAAAAAACTGGTTTAGTTTATCTTTAATCTTTCTCAAAATAGCAAGAGCTTGAAAAGATAATGTCCTACATTACACATACTGAGAAGCTGTTTCAAGGGAAAAAAACACCTCGGGTTTTCATCCAGTTCACTTTAAAGCACAGCAGGATTGAGTCCATTAAACACACACAGGATCCAATGAACACGACTTTGATGTCACAAGCATAAAGCGACCAATCAGGGCTAAGTATGAAAGGCAGGGTTGGTCATGGCCTTCTCCTTTATGCTCTATTGAGTCCGTCTTATCTGACAGAAACATCTTAACAATGGCAGGGAAACATTTCTATCTGAAGGGCTGGTTGTCAGCAGTGACCAGGGCTCTTGTGAAGCAGAAACAAGCCCAAATTAGAATCCAGACAGACCTGGGTTGGTCTCTGTCTGCAGTAGGTCCAATTTTTCAGCATATGTTTGTGTTTATCCCTGCGATTGTGTCATTAACCCTGTCTGTAAATATCCTTAAGCCAGGATTTCATCATTAATATTAAACCTCCTGGGGAAAATTTCAGCTAGAGGAGCTAAAACGTGATGATTTGTAGTAGTAGTTTTTGCTAGGACATGCAGAAAAATGGCTGCACTCAGCTTTTTTGTCTACATTTTTTTGACCAGCCATTAAAAAAAGAAATTGGGTTACAAGGTGAAATGTGTAATTTCCAGTGTTGGGGAAAGTTACTTTTAAAAAGTAATGCATTACAATATTGCGTTACCCCCTAAAAAAGTAACTCATTACGCTACTTAGTTACTTTTTATGGAAAGTAATGTGTTACGTTACTTTTGAGTTACTTTTTAAATCTGGGCAGGGCTTTCTTGTTTGTTTTTAATATAAAAAAGTTCTTCTTTTATAAATGTAAAAGCCCTTTTCACAACAAAAGTGAAATGAATACACCTCAGGCTGAAGGAAATGTAAATTCATGTCTGTACAGTAGAGGGTGCAGCTCAAACAAATTGCATGAAGAATATGACACCGGAGAAGAAAGTTCAACACTATTCAGCAATAACAAAAATGAAACACAAATGTGTCATTTTTGCTTAGTATGGTTGAATTGGATCATTGAGGATCAGTAGCAAAGACGTTGGTTAATAAAATGGGATTAAATACATAAATGATATTTGTCTTATTTAATAGTTAATTATTGCATGTTTGTATAATATTATGAGTTTTCGTTTGACTGTTTTTATTCATTTTGAGGAATACTGAATCTGTTTTTGTGGAGGTGAGATGAGTAAACACATGTTCATATTTAGTCTAGATTACATGATCTACAGTAAGATCATGTTCACACACAACGCTCTGCACTTACTCCTGATTTCTCTCAACATGGCAA